TCCCCTGTCCCCAGGCAGCCACAGTCGGTTTTCAGAATCTTTATTGGACGCCCAGTCATTAACTGGGACGCCCGCGTGAGGTCCTCAGAGATACGTACACGCTCAGAATACATTCGGCAAAGGGTACGAAGCAACAACACCAAAGTGCATCTATGGGTGATGCTGGAGCAGAGCCCCCGGGGTGGGGGAGGGGGCAAGAAGAAAGGGAGACTCCAAAGGCTCATCCTGCCTGCTGCGTGGGACGGAACCCTTTGGTGTTTAGGCTGTGCAGCCTGGGGTGGGGCTGGGGTTCTGGAACCCTGTGCTATCTGTGTTTGGGAAGGACACTCCCTGGGTGGAAGGAGCAGTGGTGGGGGAGAGGGGGAGAGGCCTCCCCTGCCCAGCTCAGACCTTCTCCTGATCTGAACAAAGGCCCAGCAGCTACTTGTCCACAAGTGGAGCTGGGGGACTGAGAGATCTGGCCTGATTGTCAGAGGCCCTAGCTGGAGGGACCGGGATGGCATGGGGCCCCAAGGAAGGAGACAAGGGTGGAGGAGGGGGTTTGATTAGGTTTTCTGGATTCACTCTGAGTCCCCCTTTTCCCCCTTGCCTGGGGGGGAGGGGGGAGGGACCAAGACCAGAACCAATATGTCCATCCATAATAAATAATATATACACACTCCATATAGAAATATGTAAATCAAGGTAAGCCCTGGGGTGGGGCAGTGGGTGGTGAATCTGTTTGCATGGTACCTCCTGGGCTGTTGGCCCTCTGTGGCTAGGCATTCATGACCACTCATGGGTGATGGGCAAGCCTTGGCTCAGGGAGACCCCCTCCCAGTTACAACATACCTGCCTACCTGAGGTCCCACCTCACCAGGCTGGACTCAGCACCCTCTGAACCATCCCTCCCACCCCCAGTAGTCAGTCTGGAGTCCCTGGGGCCCATTAGCTCCTTGGGTCAGGTCTGGTGGGGGCCTCCTGCGAAATGGTGATTTCTCTGCTCCGAAAAGGGGGATGCCAGGCCCCTGTGGGAGAGAGAGGCTGGATTTCTCCCCCCACGATTGTGAAGGAGTTCAACTGAGCTAAATTGGGGAAGGGGCCATTGCTAGAGGTTATCTGGATGCCTGTGCCCACCACTTTGGTGTCCGCCCCACTCTCCCCAGCCCAAGTTCTCCATTGCCATGAAGATGAGTTGAGATGCCCCACACTGTGAGGGTGACTGTTTGGCCCCTGACATGTGGCCCTTGGTATTCTAGGGAGTTTTCTTTCCCTCTCTCTCCCCCCCCCCCCCACCTCAGCATCACTTCTGGGAACATAGCTCTAGGGGCCAAAATAAAGTGCTTCAGGCAGACGCCCTAAGACCCTGGCAAGGGACTGGGTGATCCCCTGTCCTGGGGGAGGGATTGCTGACCAGGTGGGTTTTGAAGGGCAGAGCTTGGGCCTGGACCCTCCAGTAACCCTGACTCCTGAGGATAATGGAAACAGGACAGGGCTAATGGACTCTACAGTTACCATCCTAAGCTCCAACTCTGATTGTCAAACGGGTGAAAACGAGACAAACCCTGAACCCAGATTTTTGCTGGTAGGGAAGCATCTCTCCCTCCTCACACGATCTGGTAGCAAAGAGCATTCTGGTTTTTTTGGTGGGGGGAGTGGGCTATGACCCTCACTCCCCCTTCAAAAAAGCTTCGAAAGGACCAAGAATGTCAGTCCTCAGGCCATGGAGAGACTATGGCCCTGGAAATGAGTCAGAAAACCCAGAAGTAGGCAGGGGTGTGCATGTGTGGGTGTGTGTGTGTGTGTGTGTTGAAGCTTGTGTTTACTCCCAAGCATGACTGCCACCCATGCCCCTATGTGGGCAAGACTGGAGGGGAAGGATCTGGCCAATGAAGGAATGCCCACCTGGCAGTGAGAGGCAAAGGGACGGAATAACGGGGGAGGGAGAGAAGCTACCACACCTGAGGAATGAGTGTCCCTCCATGGGACCACGCTTTTGGAGGGGAATGCCACATGGTCATGGGAGCACAGTCTTAGAGATGGGAGGACTTAGGTGTTGCCAGTTCCACCAACCCCTTCATTTTACAGATGAGGAAATTGAGGCCTGGAGGCAATGTTACATAGGTAGTAAGTGGCAAGGCCTGGATTTAAATCAAGTTCTCTGGTGGCTATTGGAAGGGAGGGGAACCTGGTGGCACCAGGATTGCGTGCCTGTGAACCCCCAGATGAGTTATTGTCTATGTACGCCCCCCACCCCACCCCACCCCGAGAAAGTAGGACAAGAGAAGGTAGCAGAAGGAAGTCAGCCTACCCTCCCTGGCCCCATCCTGCCCTAAGCTTGCGGAACGTGTCTGAAAGGATCGGCCAGTCTTCCCACTTCCCTGCCGTCTTCTTCTACCTTCAAGCATCGTACGCATACACCCACCCCACATGTACACCCACCCCCACCCTGGGCCCTGCAGTCAGAAGGCAGGAGGGAGGCTGTGGGAGCAGCGATCTCTACATCGGGGAGGGGGCACCAGGAGCGATGTGTGTGATGGGCTGTGGAGAGGAGCCAGGAGAGGCCTCCCTTGTGCTTTACCCAGGGACCAGGGAGGGAAGTTCATGGTATCTTCGATTTCCAGTAGGAAGGGCCTTTAGCTGCCACCTGGGCCAACTTTCTTCATTTTACAGATGAGGAAACTGAGTCTTAGAGAAGTAAAATGACCTGCAAGGTCCCGCAGCTAGCAAACAGCAGAGTGGGGCATTTAGTCCTAAGTGCTCTGACTCTGAATTCAGCCATCAAAGCAGCTCTTGCTGCCATCTTGGGCGGGGGTCCATTTCTAGAGATGCTGACCAGAGTGTCTCCTCCTGGGCACCTCCTGGCAAAGAGCGCTGTGGACAGCCCCGGAGCGGCCACCCACCCAAGGCTGGTGGGGACATCAGACAACGGGTGGGGGTGGGGGGAGGGGATGGTCAGAGGAACCTTGTGCTTTCTCATTTCAGTCTCCTCTCCCTGCCCTTCCCCCACCTTGGCAAGGGTTGGTGCAGTGATGGGAGTGGACGGACTGCCCTGCAGCAGTCGTGAGGCCCAGAGAGGTCATGGGCTGGGGGCTCTTCTCTCTCTGAAAGGCATAGGTGAAACATGACAGGGGTAGTTGGGGCCTAGGGTAGAGATGGAGAAATCCTCCAGCCCCAGGCTTCTGGAGAGGCAGAGGGAAAGGGAGTATTGAAGAGAAGAGTGAGAGAAGGAGAGAGACGTTGACACGTAGTGGAGAAGCCGACACAAGGGCAGAGACCACCAAGAGAGCATCCTGTGCTGAGGGCCACATTCTCTGGGACCAGCTCCTGAGGCTCCTTTGGTGGACATCTCGCTAGGCTGGCGGGGAAGCTGAGCCTTGGGGAGCGGTTAGGCCCCAGAACAGGAATGGGCCACGGGCAAGACCAGAGCTATCAGGAAAGTCTTCAAACTGATAGTCAGGTCTGCAGAACTGAGACAGCCCTGGTCAGCTGAGGAGCAAACGCAGGGATGGAGGCGTGGACCTAGCTAAGAAGCCAGAACTTCCCAAATGAAGTTTCGTGGGACTCTACCCTCTGTTCACCTGAGGCCTGACAGTGAGAATCACAGAATCATTTTTCTGAAGCTGGGAGGGACTTTCCATTCACTCCTACCCCCTTCACTTTACAGATGGGGAAACTGAGACCCAGAGAGGTGAAGAGATTTGTCCAAGGTCGCATAGCTGGTAATTGGTGAGCAAAAACCCAGGTCCTTTGACTCCAAATTTGGATTTCTTTCTACTCCTCTGAGGAAAAAGTGTGCCTAGTTTCTGGGGTCTGGCCTCTCCGAGAGCAGAGAGAGAGAAAGAATGAGAGAGGGAGAGAGAAACAAAGAGATGGAGAGAGTGACACAGAGACAGATGGAGAAACAGACAGATGGAGACGGAGGGAGAGAGAGGAGAGGGGGAGAGAGACAGAGAGGGGGGACAGAGAGAGACAGAGAGAGAGACGGGGGGCAGAGAGAGAGAGACAGACGGGGGGCAGAAAGAGAGAGAGCGCACACTATAGACAGAGAGAGAGAGCGCACAGTATGCTTCTCCCAAGCCTAGGTTCAGAGCCAGATTCTCTGATGGAACCCCTGACAGGGTCCCAGGGTGAGAGGTCCTAGACCCAAGTCAATCAGATGTGATTTCATAGGGAAGACAGAGAGCAGGGGAAGCCTGATTTCAAATCCTAGGTTAAGCTCCTCCAACGTGCCTCCTCCCTCACCCCCACCTCTACCTCTACCATATACCAATATATACCAAAACATCCAATTCATTTTGCGACCCCCCCCCCCCAAAAAAAATCTCAGCGCTATTCTTCCTTCCCCCAGGGCTGGTGGCTCTCAGGGCATGGTGTGGGTGAGCTGGGCTGAACAGCATCTCAACAGCTCCTTCCTACAGACCCCTGGGCTTCCCCTCAGGCAGAGGCTTCCTGGGAGGGGTTTGTGTGTTGGGGGACTCAGGTCAAGGTCAAGGTCAGGGTCTGGAGTGGAGAGTTCAGAAACATGCACATTATATAACTCTGCTTTAAAATCTCTGGATCGTCTTTTCTTACAGAAATAAATACTAACTCTGTCATCTCCACCTGGCCATCCCCAGACTCGCTGGAGGCAGCAGCGGCGCGGCAGGGGAATATAGCGGGCCAGTGTTGTCCCCTGGAGTCTGGAGAAGTGGCCAGGGTCCCCCAGGTGGGGAAGGGAGGGTTTGGGGACGGAGCTAAGATGTCACACTACTCCCCTCTCCCCGCCCCTCCAGAGAGTTGCTGTGGGTCCCAGGCATGTCCTGCCCCACCCAGGCCCACCTGGAATTTCCATGGAGACTGGTGGCAGAGAGGGACCCAGGGTCCTGCCGGGTTGCTCCCTTGATGCACCACTGGGACCGAGGTTGGCATTGGTAACCTCCACCAGATTGGGGATGGGAGGATAAAAGGGGGCCCCATGGCCCACAGCCTGGATAGATCAGATACAGGAGACAGCCTTGGCAGGGGGGCCCAGAGACCAAGGGGCCAAGGAGGCAGTCGGGGTTTATTGCAGGACCCCCTGAAGGACGGGGCCAGTGCAGGGTATAGGATGTCAGTGCCTGCCTCTGCTGGTGACTGGAGCTCCCTGTCCTCTGAGGGGCCCCAAATCAGCCCCTGTTCTGGTGGGGTTACTTGGGTCAGCGGGGCATGCTGTCCTGGGGCCCAAGAGGAGATGGTAGCTTCAGTCCAAGAGCCCTTATTGGGGGAGGCAGTGCCTAGGGTGGAGGCTTAGGCAAGGGGGAACCCCGCTGCAGGGTCTCAGCGAGGAAGAGGAGGGCCCCCCCAAGCCATCGACTCCACAGCAGACGGCATTCCACGCGGCTGACCCAGAGCTCGGGCAGAAGGCCTCTAACTGGCCCCTCGAGGTCAAGTCCAAACCTGCATCCCTTGGGTGGGGGTGTCCGAAGATGTTGTCTGCTGGAGGCCTGGGTTCACTCCAGAGCCTCTGGGTGGAGGTGGTGGGTGAGGGGTGCCCACTGGCCCCCCTGCCCGGGGTTAGCAGCCACCTTCCACCTTGATATGTAAGATCTTAGAGAATCCAGGCCGTCGTCTTAGAGCCTAGGGAGAGGAGAAAGGGTCAGGAACCTGGTCATTTCTGCACCAGAAACAGATGCCTGGCCTGGCTTGGCCTTCCCTCCCCTGCCCAATGCTCTGGGTGAAACACCACTCCATTCCCTGGCCCAAGTGCCTCCATTTATAAAAGGTGCAAGCATAGCCAGAAAGCTCTGCCGGGATGGACAGTGATGGGAGCTCAGGAAGAGGCTGACAAAGGGCTAGAGAATAGGACTGACGGGGTGGGGGGTGGCTTCATGTGCCTTCCAGAAGCCTCCTCACTAAAACCACAAATAGCCCATAGACCAGAGCTTCACAAACTTTCTTTTTACTATTTCAATAACTGTATTTCAGTCTAATTGGATTCCTATGTAATGCTATCTATTTTGTTTTATGCATTTAAAACCATTATTCAAGAAGTGCTCTGTAGGCTTCACCAGATGCCACTGGAGTCTAGGACCCACAAAAGGTGAAGAAAGCTCTGCCCGAGACCGTGTTTGCATACCTGGGATGGGCTACTGTTATTCTGCCTTGTAAGTAAATGTGATTCGACTTGCTTTGGATTGAAATGTAGTCTACACAGCTGCTAGAATGATTTTCCTAAAGCAGATCTGACCGTGTCACTCCCTCCTCAATTAATTTCAATGGCATGGGAAGCCCAAAGCATTTTGTTCAGAGGAGAGGTTGAGGAGAACCAGACAGTCCTTTTAAATTTGTAGGAAGGCGGCCCCTAAAATGATTTGCTGGATTGACTCATATTGAAGGGGAGGCCCACCAAGGCTCCAGACAGAGGTGATTCTGCTAACAAGGGAAGAGCTCAAACACAGACTAATGCCCGTAGGCGCCAATCGGCTGCATGGCCTATTCTGGGTTCCTGGAAAGTAAGGAGTATGGGAGCTGTCATATGTCTCTCCTTATGAAGAGAAAGTAGCTGGGGTTTTCTTTCCTAGCCTGATGACTAGAGGGCTTGGGGCCCTGCCTTTTTAAAAGAGCTGATGCTCACATTTTGGGGCTAAGCTAAAAGAAATAAGGCAGAGTCTACTTTTCCTCCCACAGGCAAGAGAGCCTCAGCTAAGGACTTGAGCCTAGGAGATTCAGAAAAGTGGGAGTAGCAAAATGTTATACCTACCGAAGAGAGACAGAAACATAACATAGATGCAGGTCCCCAGGCCCAGCAGAGGACCACACTCATTAGGGAGCCTAGCCAGGAAGGGCAGTGCCATGATATCACCAGAAGGCATCTCTGGGCTTGTAAGAGTTGCCTGGAATACGCTCTGGCCCCCCGTGTTTCCTACATGCTCAGGCCTGCATGTCCACCCTCCCTGCTGATTGTGTGTCTCTGTGGCAGGTTTGTGGGGAAGGAGGAGGACAAATGTTTTATTGCCATTCTTCTTATGAGGCTATTTTATTACATTCTTTTACTGTGAAATAACCGTGTCCTTGGACTAGCCACAATGTTAAAACACATTGGTGGGGGCTTCTCAGTTATGGTTTTGAGCGGACGCTGATCCACAAAATATCCTGAAACTAGTGTAGATATTTGGGGATGCCACATGCGAGAGGGGGATGCTCCAGGTGCTACATTGTGTTTGTTTGTTTGTTTGTTTTTTCAGCCAAAGACAAAGTTTATTAAAGATCAGCCATATTGGCCAGACTCTTAAGGAATGTAAGCATTTGTATTACTAATACCTTTAAGAGGGCCAGATCTTCAGAATCTGAGCCAGGTGCTACATTGTTTAGGCTTGTCTGGGATCTCCATTTTGCTTGTCCTATTTAATGCAGGAATCCAGTAGAGAGGAAAAAATTCTCTCTTCAGTTCACGAATGAACGGGAAGCTTTCCGATGCATGCTTTTGTGTTTACAGGTCAGACCAGCTACTGAAAATAACTATTCTACTATTTGTGGAAAATGCACTCAGGTTGTTTATGAACACTGCAGAATGGCTGGGTTACCATTGTGATTGAGAAGCAGGTCTAGGAGTTGCCATGGAGGCGGTTGGAAGCTTGGTTGTGGAAGTGACTTTCGATTATGATGACAATGATGGAATGAAAACAACTGGTGAGGGAGGGGCAGAGATGGAAAGCACAAGATGTGGAACGGAGGGCTGGAGAAGGAGTAATGGTACTATATACACTGCTTGAAACAGCAAGGTACTCCCATGAGAATAACTATTAACGGGACTATGTAGGGATTCTTTTGGTAAACTCCTTAACGATGAATATAACCAGGACTTACTTATCAGTAAGAAATGTTGGGGACTTCCTGGTGAAAGAAGAGATAAATGAAGGCCGTGCTTGCCAGAAGAATATCAAAGGATCACAGGTGGACCTTGAGCGTGAAGGGACCTCAGAAGTCATTTATTCCAGAAACCTCATTTTGCAGATGAATAAACTGAGGTGCAGGGATCACACAGGTAGTAAGCAGAAGAGCTGGGATTTGAACTCAGGACAAGCTCTCTTTCCAACTCGCAACCCCGCCCTCACATAGAGCAGCTCGTGTATCATCTTCATTGGGTCAAGGTGCAATAATAGGGTGGACTCCAGCAAATCAAGACACAGAGTCAGTGGTGAAGGATGGAGGACAGGTACTGAGGCAATATACCAACTCTAATAAAGGGGGCTCAAGAGGGAAAGGTTTTCAGGGGAGTGGTCCCGTCTAACAAACGAGGGACCCTTTGAGCGCTGGTTGGAACACATCACAATTGTGATAAGTGGGTGGTATGGGACCAACACAGAAAAACATGGGTAATTATTGGAAGGTCCTGGGGGCCTGCTTAGGAAGTGCATACATTGAAAATGTAATGCTTTTAGGTTTTTGGATGTCAGTGGATGCTGTAGCCATTCTCTCTGTGATTACCTTTCCCTACTCCATAATATATTTTGTGGATGGCTAGTTATTTCCATGTTGTCTCCCTCGTTAGAATGTAAACTCCTCGAGGGAAGTAATTATTTTTCCCTTTCTTTGTACCCCCAGTGTTTAGCACATTGCCTGGGGTAGAAAGCAGA